GAGATAAAAAGTTTTCCCTGCTTGAGCCTTCTCTTCTGTCAGCTCCATAATCCCAGCTCTCTTTATTATTCCTATGAAATAACAGGATTTACAGGCTCCTTTGCTTTGCATGGTACTCTCCAGCATTGACTTTTAAAAAATATATTTTTATTGATTTCAGAGAGAAAGGGAAAGGGAGAGAAAGATAGAAACATCAATGATGAGAGAGAATCATTGATCGGCTGCCTCCTGCACATTCCCTACTAGGGATTGAGCCTGCAACCCAGGCATGTGCCCTGACTGGGAATCAAACCAGGGAATCAAACCCAGCGACCTCCTGGTTCATAGGTTGATGCTCAACCACTGAGCATACCAGCCAGGCTCCAGCATTGGTTTGACCAGGGTGGGAGAAAATAGGACTTTCACTTCCTTCATCTGAACATTGTATCTCTATGAATGCGTCCAGAGGTCACAGAAGCTTGTCTGGTGGCCATGACCCCTGTCTTTGTCCCCTGCCCCTACCCAGCGTCCAAGTGCCAGCTGGCACTACTCACCAGGCAGTGGCCATACACAGGGTCGCAATAGGTGGCATGGCCATTGCAGTTGCAGCCAGAGCAGGTACCCAGGTAGGGCCCTCCAGGCACCCGGGTAAAGTGGGCATCACAGCTCTCGCAGGATAAGCCAGAATAGCCAACAGGGCACCTGTGGGGAAAGGACCAAGACAGTGGCTGCAGGAACTGTGAGGTCCTGCTGTTTCTCTCCCATCCCTGCCAGGGTCCCTGCTGGGTCAGGCACCTGCACTCCTCTACGCTGTGGGCACGGCCGTGGCTGGTGGCGTAGGTGACAGTGGTATCCATGGCGATGTCGCTCAGCCCCACGCTGGCCATCTTGGCATTGTACACTGTCTGGATGAGCACAGCCTCCAGGCTCTGCAGCACCTGCATCATCTCCGCCCGCTGCACTGGCTGGCCAGACTCGTGGACCCAGTGCTCCTGGGTGCAGACAGAGGTGCGGGGGCGAAGGTCACCCGTCAGTGCCTGCCCAGCCTGCACCCTCTTACCCCCAGCCCTGAGGGCTCAGGCACCACCCACCTCAGAGAACTGGACTTGGCGCTGGTTCAGAGCACCAGGTTGGGTGGGTGTGTGGCCTCGAGAGAGTAGGCGATATCCAGCACCCACAAGGACCACATCCGGCCGCTGCACTGGCTCCAGCGTGCCTCGTGCCAGCTCATATCGTATCTTGTAGCGCAGCGAGCCGCCGTAGGAGTCCACCTGGCCAAGACAGAGCCAATCAGGGCAGGGCACCCATGAATATGCTTGATGCCTCTTTGTGTGCTCAGTCATCCCCCTCCCCCTCACTCTGCAACCTAGTGCTCACTGTGTGCCTGGCATGGAGCTGGGCACAGGGAGCAGAGACGAGAGCGACCTGGGCTCTGCCTTCGGGGTGTGCAATCCAATGTGGTGAGGAATATGCTAATTCTATGCAAAAGATGCCCTGGGAGACCTGAGGAGCGGCCCTTATCTCAGTCCTGGTGTGGAGGTGGTCCAGGAGGGTTTTCTGAAGGCTGAGTCGGCTGGCATTCCTCCCGACTTGAGAGGGGCAGGCAGGATGAAGAGCTGCTGCCCACAGGGGCTGTGCTGGGGCACGACCACACCTTTCCCCACAGCTGAGTCTTCCCTGCTGCCCACTAGCTTCAGAAGGAGGAAAGCCCAAGCAGGTTCTGGGCACGCGAGGAGGGGCTTCGCCCCCTTCTTATCCAGGTGGCAGCTGGGCCCCTCACCTTGTTGCCCAGGAACTGCTCGGGCAGAGCCCAGAAAGAGTCGTGGACCAGGAAGCGTCGGGACAGGTCGACCAGCTGGAACTCCTGCAGAGCAGTGTCGATCTGCAGCTGGGTGGTGGAGAGGGGTGGCATGCTGGGCTGCGAGGGCATCACCACCTTCACGCCTGTGGGTGGCAAGAGGGAGGGGTTGAGGGCCATAGCATGTGACTGCCCTAGACACCATCTTAAAAGGTGGGAAAGTTCTGGGAGAAATCTGACTTAGAGAGAACTTCAGTCTCTTTCCCAAAGTAAAAAAAAAAAGCAGTTTCTTTCACTTCCTGAAGCTTTGGCGCAACATTTCCCACAGCATGCTCTGGGGAGAGCCAATGCAGTAGAATGATGGTTGGGGACTATTTGGGAACCACAGGGTCAAAGAAAGGCTAACGGGATTCTTTGCAACAGGACTTCTCAGAGCCTTTTCCTTGCCAATAGGTCCAGGAACTGTAAGGGTTGGAACAGCCCTCAGGGGGGCAGTAAAGAGCTACACGGGGCTGAAGAACAGGCACCCAATCCTGGTTCCGCCACCCTCCAGATATGAGTGTGGGCAAAGGCCTCAGTTTTCCCATGTGTAAAATGGGGTAATAGTGGCTTGCCTGGAAGGGTTATTAGGAAGATAAAATGAGCAGACTGATATAAAATGCTTAAAACAAAGTGTGGCGCAGAGGAAGTGCTCAAAAAACAGCTAGCTGTTATTACTGCTGCTGGATGGTTAGCTGTTGCTGCTCTAACTGCAACAGGTCATCTAATCCAACCCTCTCCTACACACACAGGAATTCTCTCCAGCCCTATAGGGTAGCACCAACCATCCAAGAGAACATTCTGTGATGATGGAAATACCCTCTATCTGTACTTCCCAATATGCTGGCCACTACCCACATGTGGCTAGAGTGACCGAGGATCTGAATTAATTTATTTAAATTTAAATAGCTACAGGTGGCTAGTGACTACCACACTGGACAGCTCTAAGGGATGGGGAGCTCATTACTTCCAAAGGCAGTCCCTCCCAAGTCTGGACGCGACTCTCAGACAGTTCTTTACCCTGCTTCTGTATCTGTCTACATCTGCAATAGTTTTTCCCCTTGACCCTAAATGTGCCCCAGCAACCATGGAGGAGCCCAGCACCTCATCTGCAGAATGAGCATACACAGCCCCCAAGACCAGGCTACACTGCCCCACGCCTGCCTCCCTCCCTCCCTCCCTCCCAGGGATGTTTTTAGGCTCCCCTCTATCCTGGTCACCATCCACGTTCAGGCCACCTACTCACTCTGGAATTCCCTGCCCACCTTGACCATCCTGATTCCAATCAGACAGATCTCTAAAACAGCTGTGTGACCCCCCCCCGCCCCCCCCCTCTCGCCACACACACACACACAACCTCTAAGACAGTGGTTCTCAACCTTCTGGCCCTTTAAATACAGTTCCTCATGTTGTGACCCAACCACAAAATTATTTTCGTTGCTACTTCATTACTGTAATGTTGCCACTGTTATGAATCGTAATGTAAATATCTGATATGCAGGATGGTCTTAGGCGACCCCTGTGAAAGGGTCGCTCGACCGCCAAAGGGGTCGCGACCCACAGGTTGAGAACCGCTGCTCTAAGAGCTTCGAGGTCCTCATCTGAGAACAGTATAAACAGCCACAACCTTGCAACCTTGCCAGGACTATTAGCCACCCAACGACTATGTGAGTCAAGCCACAGTGCCAATCGAGTGCTTGTGAAATGGTGCCCATGGCCATTATTGTTCTAAATATACCAGGGGAACAACTTTGGGAGGTGATTACATTTGATAAGTCACTCTGAGGTTCCTCAACCAACAAAGGGACATAACAGGCGACATCTGTGGAGTGCTTACTGTGTAAGGCCCTAAGCCTTCCACTTGCACTTAACCTTCTGTGCTGGAGGTAATGAGATGAAGGGCTGGCTGACGTCAGGTGCTAAACGACAAAGCTGGGACTTGAACCCAGGTCTGTCTGATGTCTGGGCCCATGCCATTCTGCCTCTCAAAGCAAGAGAACTGAGTCCAGCTGCCTGCCTTTATGTTTGGGAAAACAGGCCCAGAGAAGCCAAGAGACTTGGCCAAAGTCCCACAGGCAGTACTTTGGTGCAGCCGGAGGTCAGTCCTGGGCTGAAATGCTCTGGGGACAATGACACCTCTCAATCTGTCAGGATCAGGAAGGCAGTAGGGAATACTTCCTGGGCACTTGTCATGGACCAAGTGCTATTCTGAGAGGCTGACATGTATTAACCCAGGGGTCCTCAAACTACGGCCCGCAGGCCACATGCAAATACAAATATTGTATTTGTTCCCGTTTTGTTTTTTTACTTCAAAATAAGATATGTGCAGTGTGCATAGGAATTTGTTCATAGTTTTTTTTTAAACTATAGTCCGGCCCTCCAACGGTCTGAGGGACAGTGAACTGGCCCCCTGTTTAAAAAGTTTGAGGACCCCTGTATTAACCCATTAAGTCATTACAACTACCTGGGAGGGAGTTATTATTTTCTTCCCATTTTGTAGATGAGAAAACTGAGACACAAGATAGGATTGACCAAGGGTACACAGGCAGTAAGGGCCAGAGCCAGGATTTGAACCAGGAATCTGATGCCAGAGCCCATCCTCTTTATAACCCGAAGTAGGCAAATGTCAAGTGTGGATTTGGCTTTTCCTAAAAATGTTTGTTTTCCCCCTGAAATGCTTTTCTCACAGGACTCGGCATTTCTTCAACAACCTTGTATCCCTTCCCAGTGCTGCTGTTCCCCCATGTCTTCCCTCCCTCTAAGCCCGCTGGAGCCTGGTGTCTGCCTCCCACCCCCCCCAGTGCCCACCCCCACACCAACGCACCCTTGAAGTCATCAGGCTGGTCAAAGCGCAGCCGGATCTGGTCTCGGAAGCGGCGGCTGCTCTGGCACACGTTGGTAACCCCAAAGCAGAAGCAGGGCAGGCAGGAGGCGCTGTGCTCCAGGTAGAAGTGCCCATCGGCGCAGGGTCCTGCTGGGCGGCATAGGGGTGGGCTGCAGCAGGCCCCAGGCAGGCAGCCCTGGCTCACCCCCATGCCCGTGCCCTCCAGTCTGACGGTGGTACCTCGCTGAGGAATGAGCTCCAGGACACCATCAGGAATGCCGAACACCATGCCTTGGGCATTCATGGCCTCACAGGTGTAGGCACCCTGATCTGCCTCCTTCACGTCTCGAATGGTCAGCGTGCCTCGGCCTCCCTCACTGGTCACTGTCACCCTGATGGGTCCCGAGACAGAGGCAGGGTCAGGCCTGGGCCATTGGCCCAGCCTCCTCTACAACCCCAGCCCCCAACCCAGGCCCAGAGCCAAACCTAGTATGAGATGGGATGTGGCCCCAGTTGAGTCGCCAGTTGATGATGGGGGTGGGGACACCGATGGCCACACAAGTGAAGGTTACTGTCTGGCCCCGGGAGGCCTGGATCAACTCCTGGGGAGGGGTCACCACCTGGGGAGGCACTGGAAGACAGGAGCAGATGTGAGGGGTGTGAGGGGCAAAGGGACAAGAAGGGAGCGGATGGATCAGAGGAGCCAGGCAGGAGGGCTGAGGCTGAGACTATAGAGAGGGGCCAGTGGAAACCAGCCCAGGGCCCCCATCTCGCCCCCCAACTCCCTGCTCACTGCAGCCAATCTCATCGCTGCGGTCGGAACAGTCACTCTCCTTATCACAGTGGTAGCTGGCTGAGATGCACTCGTTTGTGGAGACACAGCGGAACTGCGTGGGCTCACACACGTCCTCGGGGTGCTTGGCAGCTGGGGGACAGAGCAGGTGGTGTGGGCAGAGGGTGGACCAGCCCCATTCTGACCTGTGCCCACAGCCCCACCCTGTCCACCTTCCCCAGGTGTTCCCAGGATCACTCTCTCATCTCGCCCACGTGACACAGACGCCCCGACCAGGCCCAGGCACTGTTGCCACAATACTGCCCCACAATGTCACCATCATCAAGGCGGCCATCAAACAGCTCATCACATTACCCAACCCCCCCTGCCCCCCCACTCCTTTGACTGTTTCCCTGCTCTTAGACAACAGATAGGTGGATGCAGTGGGAAAGATGACAATGAATGGATGGATGATAAGTGGAGAGATGGATGGGAAGAAGGATGTTGAACAAATGGATGGATGGACAGTGAATGGATGGATAATAGAATGGATGGTGAGATGGACAGAAGGATGTTGAATAGATAGGTGGATAGACAGATGAAGAGCTTTGCAGCTAGACAATGGTGGATGGATAGTTGGATGAAAGGGTGGGCAGATAGATGGGAGGAAAGAAGGATGCTGGACAGATGGACAATGGACAGTTGAATTGACAGATGGATTAAGAGCTGGGATGATGAAGGAACAAATAACTCAGAACCAGCTCTACGTGAAAACCCGCAAGGCCCATAAGGGGAATGCTTTGACTCACACATACATCAAGGAACCCATGAGCAAGGCACCCTGGTGTATATATCGAGCCCTTTTAGCCACTCATCCGACCCACACGCAAGCATAAATAACAAAGACAAGATTAATGGTAACAAAATAAAGAAAAGAAAGAAAGAGACATTAACCATGGGCAATCTGCCCAGACTGCTTGCTACAAAGACCAGCTCAGAGCCAAGGGCTCTCAATGCTGGGGTCAGAGAGAGATGAACCTTCAAGTTTGTCCCCAGGGCCTTCACCACGCAGCCAGGGAGAGTAAACAAACCTACCCCAGAAGGGAAAGAACGGGGTGAACGAGGCCGGGGCGGGGCAAGGACGCCAGGCAAATCCTGGGACACTCACGGCAGTTGGCCTCATCGGTGTGGTCCTCACAGTCAGAGTCGCCGTCACAGCGCCACAGCTTGAGGACACAGTGCCCGTTTCCGCAGGGGAACTCGTTGGGCTCGCAGGGCGGAGTGGGGCCTGAGTGAACCAGGCAGGGTTCAGCCAGAGGCCCGCCTCTGGCCGGGTCCCCCACCCTGAGCCCCCTCCCTCCATCCCTGCCCAGTCCTCACCACAGTCCAGCTCATCACTGCCGTCCTTGCAGTCCTCTTGCCCATCACAGACATAGTCTTTGGGGATGCAGTGCCCACTGTGACATGTGGTCTCGTGGGGCCCACAGGGCCTGTCAGGACGGAGAGCCGGGGTGACTGGAAGTAGCCGTGTGGTGGTTGCCTCTGGCCGGGGTGTTACAGGTAAAATCTCCGCCAGATGGGGTGGTGTGGAGTGGACCTCTGGAACTGGCTCTTCTGTGGACACAGCCCACTTGGCGTTGGCAGGCGTATGACCCCTCACCCCTTGCCCCCCACACTCCCCAGGCCCTCCCTGCCACACACACACAGTGCCCTGGCCCTGACCCTGGTATCACCCTTCCATGTCCCTGCCCACCTCCCTCAGACCCCTCTGCCTGCACCCAACCCTCACAACCCCAATTGACTTGCAGGCCCAGGCATATCCTGACCTTTCCCTGGCATCTGCAGGCCACTGTGCCCCCAGGCAGCCCCTCACCACAATTGAGCTCATCAGACATGTCCCTGCAGTCAGGCCTCCGGTCACAGCGATACTCCAGGGCCACACACTCATTGTGGCTGTGGCAGGCAAACTCAGTCTCCGTGCAGACTCTGGGGATCTGGGGCACTGTGGGGTTGGAGGGAGTCAGAGGGGCAGGCGGAAGATTGATGGGAGGCGTCAAGGACAGCTCAGGCACTGCCAGGCTGGGCGTGGGCTTTGGTGCCCTGTGTCAGGCCATGTGGTTTTGGGCAGACTCAGCAAGAGCACATGGTGGACACATCCACAGCACACATGAGATATATGTGTGGCACAGGCCTCACACACAGTTAACATGCCACACATGCAACCACCACACCACACACATGCAGGCCACACCTGGCCCAGCGAGGATAAAGAGGAAGAGGAGAAGGGGTGGCTTGTGGGCTATGCCCAGCCATCTTGCCCTCATCCTTCCTTCCCCTCCACCTATTAACTTCAGTTACCCTGCTGGGCCTGGCTCCGGCTTACACTCTCACCTGGTGTCACCGCGGCCGCCACAGCGGCCAAGGGGGGCGGGGGTGTCTGTGCTGGAAAGGAAGGGGTGATCAGCAGCCATCCCCCCTGGGACCTGGGACCTGGGAGCTGCAGGGCTGGGCCAGGCCCATCCCACCATCCCTAGCCCTGAAGACTCATTGAAAAATGAAGAGGCTGGACCCCCTGCAATCTTCAGACCTGGGCCTGGGGATGCCAACAGAGCAAACCTGACCTTCGGGTACATTAATTAACGGTTTATGTGCAGAATGAGAAGGTGATGGCTTCACTGCATTTTCCTGATTGGGCTACACCATGACAGGGAGTTTGTTCAGTTCTGAGTTCCACTGAGTCAGAGGGGGTGACATGTTGGAGTCTTCCCAGGAGAGGGGACTGAAATAGACAGCTGAGACCCGTAGCCTATGAGGAATGAACTGGAACTGTTTAGCCTAGAGAAGAAAAGACTCAGGGACTCAAAATAGGAGACAGGGTGCAGCAAAAAGAACCCTGCGCCAGTGAGAGGACAAAGGCCCAGACTTTGCATCTAACAGCTGTGTGACTTCGGGCCAGTTTCCTATTCTCTCTGAGCCTCAGTTTCCCATCTGCTTCTCATCTCATCTTATCATAGACTCTGGCAAGACTGGCATAGACACAGGGTTTGTTTAAGTTCTTTCTTTTCCATTATCTGTGTATGTGGATCTGGACAAGTCCTTTTTCCTTTCTGGGCCTCAATACCCTCATCTCTAAAGCAGGAGGTATAATATCTATTTCACAGGAATTATTGTGAAGATTGAGGCTGGAAATTAAGGGCATTACAGAGTGCCTAGCATGTATTCAGTGCTTGGTAAATAATTGTTGGTTATTATTAAACACAAAAGTGTTTTGGATCTGAAAGTGCTGTATGAGGAAAAGATTACCTATTGTCAATGTATAGAGGTAGATGGAGAACAGAAATTGAGTCTAATAGGTACAAGTTAGAGGAAACAATTTATGCTCAACCCAAGACAAGACTGCATAAGGATTGATGGGGCAGACCCACCAGGTGGTGAGCTCCCTGTCCCTAGTGGTGTGCAAGCCCAAGCTAAGACAGCCCATGGTGGGGATACTCAAAAGGGATCCACATGAGTCTGATAAACTGGAGGAGGTGACCCCAGGCTCCAAGATGGGCTCACCTGTGCCCAGGTGTCGAAACTGGAATCCCTGGGGAGAGGTGGTGTAGGAGGCAATGGAGCCCCTGGAGACGACCGAGTGCAGCACCTCCTGAATCTGAGCCCCATCTGTGTTTCCTTCGGAGCCCACGTCCAACTCCACGAAGACCCAGCCATCCAGCTCCCTAGGGACAGGCATGGGGCGGGGGAGCAGGGTGAGAAAGATGCCTGTGGTCTCAGCTCCTCGCTTGGTCCCCTGTCTGACAGTTAGACCTGATCTCCTGACACCCTGTAGCCCAGGCAGGGCATGTTAAGGTCCAAATTGTCCCCCAACTAACTCCTGATTTTTCACCAATATTCACCTGACTAGACCTCTTCTGCCTTCCCTCCTAGTACCCAGGCTTCTCTCCATCTTTGTCAGCTTCTTCCGGGTTACCCACCAGCCCCCAACCAGCCCCCAGGGCACCCTTCTCACTTGATGAACACCACACTGACAATCTGGTCTCCAGGAATCTTCAAGTACTCTGACTCCAGCTGGGGAGGGACACAGCGCCGTCAGCCTCCAGATGCCCTCACCCCACCCTCAAGTCCTGCCCACCGACACCAGGCGAGCTCCCAAAAGCCCCTTCACCTCACCGTGTCTACCACAGCCTTGGATACTTCTTGGAAAGCCTGGGAGCCTGCGTCCTCCAGCTCAGAGCTGTAGTGGATGGAGCGAGTGAAATTCACCAGGGCTCGGAAATAAACTGCAGAGAGGGGAGGAGAGGTGTGTCACTGTGTGGTGGCCTCAGCAGTTAGGCCGTAGGTGGAAATAGGGAGATGTTCCCTGAGGCCTCTTGCTGAGGCTGACACCTGGGTGCCTACAGCTCTGCCCAGCACGGCCCCTATCACCACATACTACAGTGGCCCTGGCTGGTCTGCCCAGGGGTCAAAGCTGAGGCCCCACCCTTGAGTGAGGGGCTTCAACTAATAGGGAAAGTGGTCTGATCCAGAAATCAAGAGATGGTGCAGAAGAGGAGACCCCTGGCAGCTCAGAGGAAGGCTAAACAAGAAAAGTGGCTTCCAGAGGCTGGCCTAGTACAGAAATTACTAGTGACCCAAATGTTTCCCCACTCTTCCCTGGCCAATTCCTTCTCATCCTTCAGGGCTCAGCTCAGCCATCACCTCCTCCAACCCTGGCTGGTTAGAGACCCCTCCTTGGGGCTCTGGCAGACTCTCTGCTTCTCCATCAGAGCACCTTCTACCCCACCTTGCACAGTCCTGCCTGAATACATGTGGATCGTAGAGCATCTTCATAAAAATCATGGGTTCTGAGGTCAGCCACATCTCAGACCTCATCGCTCTGAGCTCCCTCAGTCAATTGGGGACATTAATTACATTAACACCTTGGGCAGCAGTAGGGAATAAATGATATGCTTACATGCACCTTCTCTCTGTGTGCTCAGATGCCGTGCCTGGCACGAAAAAAGGGTTAGAAAATCAGAAGCTGTTGTCACCTTGCCCTCTCTACTGCTAGACTATGAATTTGAGGGGGGTAGGGAGACTGCAGGTCTCATTCATTCCTGTATCCCCAGTGTGTGCATCATGGGAGGTGCCTAATAAGTGATGGCTGAATCAATTCATATCAGATTGGTGTGAGCAGATACATACACCTATCGTTTCTTGGTACCTACTATACATTTTATACACATTACATCTCATAATGTTAATGAATTCATATAGCAGTTATAAATATAAGTTAATATAAGTTGCAAATGACTCATACATATGTACGTAAACAGATAGACCAATCATTTCTTGAGCACCTATTAAGGACAAGATTTTTTAATGCATTAATTTTCAATGTCATGAATTAAGGTATAAATCAAGCATGTCAAACTCAAAGGCGAACACAGGCCAAATAAACGAGGCATGTGGCCTGCAGACTGCGAGTTTGACATGCTTGGTGTAAATTATAAATGCTGAGTTGACATGAGTTTTAAATATGTACAAAGTGCTTAGCACAGAGCTTGGCACACAGTAGGTGCAAAATATTGTGACCAATTCCTATATGAGAGGCAGTGTAGCTTAGTGATTAAAAGCTCCGCCTCTGGAGCAAAACTGCCACTTACAGCCCTGCGACCTTGAGGAAGTTACCTCCACGGAGCGTCCGTTTCCTCCTCTGTAAAATGAGAGTAATAGTGCCCACCCCAGAGTAAGAGTTGTGAAGAGTAAGTTAACAAACGCAAGGTGCTTGTAACAGGGTCTAGCACACAGTAGGAGCTACATGAAGTTAGCTGTAACTATTCCTTCTGGTCTTTATGACGAACGGGAGGAATGGGTTTGGTTTTATTTCTTCCCATCTGAGGGGGGCAGGCATTGCTTTGACAAATCTATACTGAGGCCAGGTGGTGTTCTAGGCACAGGGCATGTAGCAGTGAACTCCGCAAATGACAAGTCCTCTGGCCACAGAGATCACTGTCCAGTGGGAGGAGAAAGGAAATGAAACAAGTGAGCATGGAAGATGTGGAGGTAGGTGCTACTCTCCCCGGGGGGCCAGGGAAGGCCTTTCCTCAAAGGGCTTGCTTGAAGGAAGGTAGTGAGCCAAGGGGAGCTATCTGGGAGAACAGCATTCCAGTCTGAGGGAACAGCAGCTGCAAAGTCCCTGAGGCAGAAGTGGGCTCAGAGAGGTGACAGAAGACCAGCCTGTAGGTGGCAGAGGAAGTGGCATCCTAACTACAGGCCTGTCCTCCTCCCTCTTCACTCTGTCAGGCCCATCGGTGCACACGCCTCCAGAACCAGGACCCTGTCCCTCTGAGGCTCAGGCTGAGCAAGCCCAGACAGGGGTGGCCGGTACAGGAGTAAACTTAAACTTCTACACCAAGAGAGGGTGCTTGTGAGGGCAGCACCGCCTGCTCGGAGCCACAGGGACCATGCCGGACTGGGCTCCTGGGGGTCAGGCGGGTGGGGCTCTGGGGGCCCGAGTATGGAAGCCACGAGCTTGGCCACAGAGGCCCCTTGTGAGCGGGCACAGAGGTCCATTGAGAGTCCCCCCCACCCTGGCCCCTGGCCTCAGCCCCACGGCACGGTGAGGGTGAGGAGGCCAGGCCTCTGCCCAGGAATGTGACCGCTCCACAAAGCCCCTTTCTCCTAGGGCCTGGGAA